TTCAAGAAGAACCAACATTAGGAAAAGGCAAAGAATGTGCTTTTGCTCACCATATCTATGACTTTGAGTTGTCCATAGGAGAAGACGATGGCATTGGGGGGAGTGGCCACTGGCAGCATGAAGGCCAAGGATGCAGAGAGTGTGCAGGGCAGCATCACATAGAGGGGATTGAGGCAAATGGCTTCAGCCTGTGCAGAGGGAGAGCAAAGGGGATGGTTTCCATGCACAAAAATGCATAGAAGTCTGGTGGCAGGAGACTTGGTTGTGTTGGGCCCCACCAGACACCTCGTTCTCTCTCAGCCCCTGCAGCCCCTCACTGTCTGGTTCTGCTTTAGGAACTTGGAGCCAATGTCTTCATGCAGCAAGAGCAAGAATTGATTTTGTGGTCAGTGCTTTGTGTTCCTGATTGTGGGGCCTGATTGCTGCAGTATCAATGAATAATAATGGTTGTATTCAACTCTAAAACCAGGGGACAATGTGGAGTAGCTTCAAACTGGTTAAGAACAGGATTAAATGATCAGGGGAAAGAGGGCAGCACAAACTCTGAAGGTGAGTGGGTCACTTCAGAGGTGAGTTGGAGTCTGGCCTATGCAAAAAGGTTTTTGTGGAGCTTATTCCAGTTTCTGCCTGGAACCAGCTCTTCACACTGCAGAACTAAGTCTGCTCCAGCAACAGGAATCTTCTGTAGATATTTAGGAGGCCTGAATTAGGTTGTAGAGCTTGACTACCACCTTCAGAGACTTCTGGAAGGCTAGTGGTTAGGGTGAAATGCAGTAATGGAATGTTGCAGGGAAGTAAATGCTGCTGTTGTTGCTGTCTCTAAGCAGAACAAATAGGAAAAAACAAGTCCAGCTGGCAGTGACCTCATCAAGTTGTTTAGGCCAGAAGGCAAAGTCTAATATGCCCATGAATTTAATCCCTTTACTTTTCCCCAGCAATGAGTTCAGAAAGGTTGAACTAAGCACAGTGTGTGTGAATTCACATGCACACACATCCATGTATGGACTTTGAGTCTTGTGTTCCTGCTGGGACACACAAACCACTGCTTGTCCAGGCAGTTTTCATACCTGAGCAGCTGGATGCTGGAAGGAGAGTTGAAAGCTGCTCTTGTAAGAATGTTGTGAAATGACAAAACTCACCATTGAAGCCAGAATAGGGAGGAAGAGGGTGGTGGTGGCCACGTTGCTCGTGCACTCAGTGAAAGTGGCAATGAGGAGACACAAGAGCAGAGCAATAGCTGGGTGAGGGATTTGCTGCAGAGGAGTCAGTTTGGTGCCTAACCATGCAGACAGGCCAGATTCCTGGAACAGAGGAAAGGATTCTATTTTACATGTCTTACATATGATGGTCCTACCTGTAGTTTCCAGTAGTTTGATTGCTTTTTTCTCATTAGCAATATAAAATATCAACTAGACAAGGTGTGTAAGCAGCTCTGAAACTTATCCAGTCATTTCCACATCTTGCATTTGTGATATTTCTTCCTATTTCCCACCTGGAGTTGCATCCTTGTTTTCTAGGAAGCCTTTTACAGGTCACTGTGATCTTTGAATTCTAAAGGAGCATCTCCAGTGTGTGTATTGCCCATAGATTTAATAAATGCAGTGTCTGTTCCATCATCAAAGTCAGTGCTTATAATATTCCAAGAACAGTTTGTAGCCCTGGACTCCTGGCAGGTGCCTGCAGAGGAACATCAGCACCTCCTTCAGTTTGACAGCCAGATAATTTTATCTGCTCCTGGAGGTTCTCTAGCTGACTCTACTTTTGTCTTCTAGTAGTTTAATTTAAATAGTATTTCCATAAGTAGTTTGTTTGAAATAGTTTGGTGACCCATCCTGGGCACAGCATCTCCTTGTGCTCCTCACTTGAGTTAAGTTTTATTTAACAGAACCTTTAATGCATCGGGGCAGTTTCTTAATCATCCCCTTTGCTAGAAACACAGTTAATGCTGCTGCCTGGGCTGGCAGGACCATCCCAGTTGCATGGGCAGCTGGAAAGATTCTTTCCAAGCACAGGACTCCTCCAGGGATGGCGAGGTCTGTGCTGCTGCCCCTGGTGAGGAGCCGCACGTTGGGTGCCCCTCTTGTGTGCTGGGAGAGACTGGAACCCCCCAGGGAGCCCCAAGGAGTGGGTAAGCAGAGGGATGTTACCTCACTGCCCTTGGCCAAGGCAAAGCCACCTCCCAGCAGGAACACGATGTTCCACGGCATTTTCTGGTGAACCACTTTCCAGTCCAAAAGAGCTGGAGGTGCCTTGAACTTGGCCTTGCTGCCTGAAACCCAAAGAGGTGTTGTGAGCCCTGGTGGGTTCTCCAGAGAAAGGAGGGGTCCTCAGTGGGGGGTGAGTTTGGTCTGAACGTCAGGAATCACTTCTGCCAGCAGATGGAGTAGCCTGTGGGATTGTCTCCTAGAGCAAATGATGGAGCCTCCCCAGCAAAGATTTAAAAACTTGACTTGCAAAAATGCTAATGAATGTTCTGTGAGTGCTGCAAGAGGCCCAGGGGGAGATGGGGAAGAGGGAGTTTAAAACATGGCAACGTGTCTGCAGAGCTGTGGGTGCTGAGTCCTGTGCTCCCTCCTGAAGGCTCCAGCTGCAGAAGCTCCCACATGTGTGTGTGAGTGTCTGGGATAAGAGTTTACTACTTAGTTAAACTCCAAGAAGCAGAGAAAGAGCTCGGATGGGCTGTGTTCCTTGCTGAGCCTGAAGCACCCAGCTCCAGCTGGGCAGGAGGGGCAGCCTGAAATCTGGTGTGATGTTTGAAATCTCCTTTGTCAATCTCAAATATCAAACTCCCCGTGCACCTCTGCTGCCACGGGGGTTTTGCTGCTGCCAGGAAACTTACCTGCCTGGTTTTTCTCTCTGTTGTTGTTAGAGAAGTCAGAAGGGATGATGAAGAGCAGAACAGAAATGAAAATGGCAACTGTGGCATCAGTCACGTAGCTGCAACAGAGGGGGCACAAGTTTAGTTGAGCTCTGAGTTCATTTTTATGAAATCTACCCAATTCCTGTTCAAAGTGAGGAGGAAAACTGGTGATACCTTTTATTGCCTTTGTTGAACAGAGCTGGTGCCCAGCCTGGTATGAAACCAGGGTCTCTTGTGAACCACAGCAGCACCAGGAGTATGAAGAGGATCAAAACTGCTATTTCTGCAAACTGCATCGAGCCCAATTTCCTGCTCTCCTCCTTGATGATGTTGTAGGCCCTTTGCTCCTTTGCCTTTGTAGCAGGACTTGAAGAACAACCAAAATTATTCCGAAAACTGGAAAAAAATGGACAAGAAACATCAGAGAATTCTGCCAGGCATCCTCAGAGCTAAGTATAAGTTTTATATTGTCATATTAACTTTTAGATACACATTACATATGCATATAGAAATTATATCTACTATTATAGTATCAGCAGCCATAGGGGTTGGGTAGTAACTGTGCTGTCCTGGGCACTGCCTGGAGGATCAGAAAAAAGCTTCCTACCCTTAAAAACTCATGTTCTAAATACAAGCAGGTGTGTTCTCGGGGACTCATGGGGAAATAAGGTCACTGTTAGTGTGATTGACAAGGCTGTGTGGTCACAGCCCTTTAAAATTACAGGAAAGGAGAATTTGACAAGCAGAACTTGAAGATTAAAGTTCCCCTGCTGTTGCTGCAGAGCTCTGTCCATTTCAAAGAAAGGAAGTTGGGGATAACACCAAAGTGACAGGCTAAGTATTAAACAGGTGGGTAATGCAACCTGGTTGCATGGGGTGATTAGCACTGGGAACTGGCACAATACTAATCCTCTAGGTCTGTAGCAACTCTTGTCATAAAGGGTATTTACCAGCTGTGTGTAGAAATCAGTTTCCTGATTGGAAGCACAACAGTCTCCCAGGACATGACAGCAATGCTGCAGAACAGGCTCTGTGCAGCTCTATCTTCCTCTTTCCATCTACAGAGTATCTTTAGATGGGATTTGGTTGTGTTCCTCAGGGGAAAAGTTGCAGTGTTTTAGTAGCTATTGAGGCTGCTGTTCTGTTTTATGTGAGGACCTTCATGCTGGGAGCCTGACTTGCAAGCTGGGGCTCATCACCAGGGGTGTCACCTGAGCTACAAGGGGCAGTGGGCACATGCCAGCAGGCCTGGCAGCTCTGTGACACTGGGGCAGGGGGGACTTACTTGAAGCCCAAGTACAGTATCTGCAGCCAAATCCAGGCCAGAATCAGTAGCACGACCATGGTAGGGAAGGCAAAGGAGAACCAAGAGGCAAAGTTGATGATGTTGCCGTTGTCAGGAAAGAGGCTGTAAAAGGCAGATGGCTGTTAGCACCCCAAGGGCTGCACCCCCTGCTGGAATTTGTGATGCTGAAAAGAGGAGGCACTGTGAGGCCCACAAAGGAAGAGAAGCCAACTTCCCAACAGTTACCAAACGGGTATTTTCCTGTGTTGTGCTGGCTGGAAGTCATGGATATCTAATCCCAGGTTCAACCAGACTTACTCATCAACTTGTCCTTGCAGTACCAGGTTTGGTGTTGTCCCAGTCAGAGTTGCAATCCCTCCAATACTGGCTGAGTAGCAAATACAGAGGGACATTCCCTTGCTGAACTGCCTGTGTTTCTCTTCTAGCAGATTTTCATTTCTCTTTCTGTCTTCCTCAATTGTCAGGACATGACTGTTACCTAGGCCAGGAACAAAAGAGACAGAGAAGCTACAGTGGATAGGAAAAGATCTTGTGCCTGTGTAATTCAGTATTTCAAGGCTAGGACACAATGGACTCAGACTGAAGGAGCTAAATTGCCTCATTTTAAGGTTGGCGTTGTTAATTCTTTGATCTCTTGTCTGTTTTCATTGGTTGTCTTGTACAACAGAGCAAGAGGAACTTGCTCTGCACCAGCAGCACCTGAGACTCAGAAACCCCTGAGTTGTCTCAAAGATGGGAAGAGGGCAGGACAGCTGGGGAAGAGATGCTGCTGCATGATTGTCTATCTTTGGATTAGAAAGATCATTTTAATCCCTAACCTTCTGGCATGAAATAGGCCAGAAATTTTGCCTCAGAAATTCCCTGTTATATGACAAGTTACATGGTAGTTAATAATGAACAAAAATATCTAGGGAAATGGCAAGCCTCAGGTAGGAGCTCCAGGTAATGGAAAATGTAGATGTTTTATTGTTTAGTTATTATGGCTTCACATTTGTTTGATTAGTCATTATCACTTCATATTTTCAATCTATTTCTAACCAGCAAACTCAGTAGATCTTGCTGTGCTTTTGTTTGGTTCATGGATGAGAATTATCAGTGCTGTCTGACCAGCCAGGATGCTGCATTCTGCTCTGAGACTTCACTGGCAGCTGGAATGGCACTGAAGAAGGATCAGGCCAATCTCTGCTATCCCAAAGACAAACCCACCCATAACCTGCTCACCTTTTTCCTGTTTGGAGCTCTCTGCTTTAGTTGCCTCTTCCTGCATCTCAAAGGCCTTGTTGATGTTCTCAGATGCCTGGCCAGCTGAGTTAGACTCCAGCTCAGACTTGTGCAGCTGTTCCAGCACAGCTTGTGCTATGGGGACCATCATGGCAGTGGTGGCTGTATTGCTGATCCACATGGACAGGAAGGCAGTCACCACCATGAAACCCATGAGGAGCCTGAAAAGAAATGTTTGAAAATGTTGGGTCAGGACTCAGTGCTGCTGCAATCCCCTCCACCCTCTTTTTTGTTGTTGTTGCAGAGCTTTGGTTACAGATGCTGGGTTTGGAAAGGTGCTCAGCAGTTCACTGGCTCTTCCCCTTGCCTGCTCTCTGCATGTCATCACACATTCTTCTTGCAATTTCAGCCATTTGTGCTTTTACACATTCTTATGACTAGGAAAGTGGGAGCTGGTCTCCTGGAACAGCTTCTCTGGTCAGTATCCTGCTTATTCTTCGTGCTTCCAAGGAAGACACATCATCTCAGTGACACCTATTAATGTAATATATTTTGAAGAGGAATTGCAACCTGGATTTGCTCCCAAATGGCACCCAGTTTAAGCCATAAGGAAGATGATCTCTTGGTAATTTTATCCCACCTCTATCATTTAGGATTCTCTTCCTACTCATATAAAATTCTAATCCTTGTTCAGTATTACTATATTATTTGTCTCCAAATTATTCTTCAGATGAGATGTAGATTATATACTAGATGAAAAAGCTTTATCTTGTGTGCATTTCTATTCTATTGCTTTGTAATTTCCTCCAGTCCTCCCTCTTTCTATCATCTGAGTTAAATTAACTAGGACATGTAGCCTCTGCACAGCTGAAGGTTCTAGTCTGGCAAACATTTGTTGTTTTCAAAACAAACATCCCCATATTTTCTCTTCTCTGTGCAGTCAGTGTAACTGTTAGAGGGTAGATGTTGCCTGTGTTTCAGCTGTAGCCTTTCCTAATTGCCCAAAGCTGTGCCAAGCACCCTTGTCTTTTCAGCACTGAGTCTCTTGTTGCTGTTTCTCCACCTAAAGGCGTTTGGAATTCACAGGAGTCACCAGGTGAGCAGGACATCAGAGCTTGGCTGGGGCACCAACTCCCTGGGACTATCGAAAAGCATTGGTAGGATGGGACTTGCAATTCCCACGGGAGAGGGGCTGCAGGCAGCTCTGAGATGGGGCTTCATGGCATTGGTGCCTTTACCCCCCAGCGTTTCCACAGGTGCTACTCACAGGGCTGGTCTGACCCCCGTGATCAGCAGGACCCGCAGGGCGACGCGCTTGTGCAGGTGCCAGTTCTCAATGGCGATGGCCATCAGCAGCCCCCCGATGAACAGCATGTTGGTGTCCTTCAGGTACTCCCGGCAGACCTGGGGCGTGGAGCAGGGGAGGGGAAACAGTGGCAGGAAGCCAAGAGACAGGGGGGTTCTCTAAGGGAAGGTCCCGGCCCAAAAGCCGTGGCAGTTTCTCTGGGTTGTGCACCTGAGTGGGGAATTGACCTTGGGCTCAGGTGAGCAGCTCCACCCAGAGTTCACTCCAGGCCCGTGCAAGTTCTGTCCCATGGGGAGGACAGATGATTCTCTGTGTAACAACAGTGCAATTTTCTTTTCTTTGCACCAGCAAATCCCAGCATAAGAGAAGCTGACCACTGAATACCCAGGGAAATGTATAGAGTAGGATCTCTTACTGTTGTTGAGTCCATAATGTTCATGAGTGGGAACAGCAGGACAGGGAAGAGAGCTGTGACAGCCAAGGGCAGGGCTTCTGTGCACCAGAACAGAGCCATCACTATGATCACATAACCACATCGGGCCTCCTGCAGAGGGAAGCACAAGCAGTCAGAACAGAGCACACATCTCACCCGGGCTCTCGGGGGCACCAGCCCAGCCTTATGTTCATTGCCTGATAAAGGGCTTTGAGAAAAGGTTATTTCCTGCCCTTCCCTCCTGCCTGTCCTCCTGCCTGTGCAGACCATAATCAAGTGACAAACTGTTCAACAGCCTTGTCAGAGCAAGGAGGAAAGGACTGGGGCCTCCAACGGGGAAAGCCAAGAAACTTGGGAAAAGAAACAAATTGGGAGACTTTGAACTCTTTGTGAGCAGGGCTGGCAGGGCCTGCACAGGGTGCTCAGTGCTGCTGATGCTTGGGTTTGTTATTGATGTGTTTCTGTCTTAGAGTTGCAGAAATAGTTACTGATCCAGTCAAGATTTCTCCACCTTTTTCCCAGATGAACCCAAGCTCATGTTGACAGCCTGGATTCCTTGTACTCTAAATATTTTTCTCTATTTTTTTGTTGGATTTTGAGCTTAGTGCAGACTTCAAAAGGCTCACTGAGAAACTGGACACAGATCAGTTTCAGCTTCCACTGCCTGGGATGTGTTTCTTTGGAGAAAGTGTGAGCCTCTATTGCATGTTGCTCTTTTCTGAGAAAACATTGATTCAGTTCTGCTTTGGACAACAACTCCAAACCTCATGTAAAAATATTTAACTAAGTCTCCCCCACAAAAAAGATTCAACATCACATGTCACAACAGGCTTTCATCTGACTGGGCTGATGGAAAAAAGCCCAAAAATAACACTGGAAGTTACAGTTTCTTCCTTATTTTGGAACTTGCACAATAATGGTGCCAGCAAATCCAAAGGAAGGAAGAAAGAAGTGGTTCTGTGGCCTTGGATCAAGGAAGTTCTCGTTGTGTAGTGATGGTCAGTGGGGCAAGACTGAAGAGATGGCAACTGCAGTGGCTGGATTGTAGAGGATTAAGCCACAGAGCTGGGTTAGTGGCAGGATCAAAGTTGTGATGCTTTAGAACGTGCTCAGGGCTTCTGGACATGGCATGGAAGTCACAGAGCTGGGGAAGGGAAAGGGAGAACAGTGGGGCTGAATGGTCTGGAGGGAAGAGAAGGTAGCATCTTAGGTGGCAAATTACCAAAGCAGCAGGGCTGGAGAAGTAAACTGAGAGGGAGACTTGTGAAGAGACAAAAGTACTCTTTTGTGAGCCTTATTTTTGAGTGACAACAGTAAGAACCTTAATTACACATCCCATCAAGCACTGAAAGCAATTCCCCACATTTGTGATCCCTCTTCTCCCATTTTGTCACTAACAGGTGCCAATGGGCACCTTTTGAGAGACCCCAACAGCACATGGAACGTGCACAGTGGTTCCCTCTGCCAGGCTCTCAGTCCAAGCTGGAATGAGACTTCTCACAGTCAGTTGTTCTGCAAGGGCATCCCCCTCTGCCTTTAGACAAAACCATTAGCATTGTTTGCTCTCCTTTGTAACAGTTTCATGTCATCATTGGACAGGTTAATAGCTCAACAGAACATAAAAAATGTGACATTCCATCCTGCAGGCTGAGGCACCAGCTTTTCCTGCTCAGCAGCACCAGGGACCACGACTCTAACACAAGAAATCTTCTTACAGGTTGCCAGGAGAACAGCCCAGGATATTTTAAATCTTTGTGCTGTAGCTGATGACACAGAGACCAGGAAAAGTCATTTTTGAAGAGGAACTGAACCAAGACTGCCAAATCATTCCACAGGCAACACCAATGACTGATTCTATGGCAACAAGGACTCTTAGCAAGTAAGTTTGAACTCGTGGCCTTGGGGCAAAAAGAAATGAAAATTAGAAAAAATACCTCTTTCCAGCTACTTAGATCTTCTCTGATCCAGGTATCTCCTAACTTCTGTAGCTCTTTTGCCTGTGGAATATTCACTGGAAAAAAATGTACTTTTTCTGTTTGTCTTCTTAGTAAGTTTGTAGGTGATAGTTGGAGCTGGTTTATTTGCATAGCAAGGGAATAGGAAGACACGCCTGATCAGTTACCACATTTTGCCTCAAGTGCCACTGCTCTTCTTGCTTGGAATCCTCTTGTCACAGCTCCAAGGCCTCTGATAACACTCAGAGCTGTGAGGAGGAAGGAGCTTTGGGACAGGCTGCACGAGAAGACAGGGAAGAGTTGGTGAAGGATGAAGGTTGGTGACAGAGACTAGAAACTGGGAGTCAGCAGGGAGAGGAGCCAGGATTTGCCATCCAAGGAGCAGTGACAGATCAGAATTGGCTGTTTAATGATGCTGGGACTGTAACAAGAGATCTGAAGATTAGATCTGTCTGCATGAGGAGACTAGGAATGGGAGAGAGAAGCTGGAGTGAGGAAGCAGCAGGAGGCTGCCAACCTGCCCCTCACAGGGCTGGGCTCCAATGGTCAGGGTCTCAGAAATACCTGCCCCACCACCACAGTTTTGTGTAGTTAACTTTTTCTGAAGGAATCCTAAGCAAGGTGTCTTCCCAGGCTTGACATTTTAAATTTAAAATCATTGTTTGTAAAGATTCTTACAGAAATATGCTAAAAATAAGAGTGAAATACATATTATTTTGTCTTATGTATCAGTCCATCTGACTTAAAAAAAAAAAAAAAGCCTCTTCTATCTGTCAATGGCAAAAAGGAAAAGATGAAAAGAGGATGTGAACTGGAAACCTTTAGAAAATCAGAAGGGGGATTAAAATGAAGTCTTAATTTGTAACTCAGGTTCACATGTATGAGCTTCAGCATAGAAAGTCCTTTGCTACATCAGTTAGAGGTAAAGCAGAAGTCACAGAATTCCATGTCCCTGAGCACTCTGCTAGAATATGCAGTGACAGATTGATGTGTTCATCCATCTGTGTCCCATTGCTTTTATATTCCCCCACTATCAGTAGTCAAAGGAGAAAAAAAAAAGGTTTTCAAGCAACAAATGAGGTGCTTCTGAGGGAGAACCTGCTTGTTCTCTTCAGCTCTCTCACTGAAACGGAGCAACTCCAAGGAGAGATTTGGAGTTTTGGCTCTGAAAATAAGTTTAAAAAGTTCTTACCTTGGTGGGAAGAGCCAGAGGCAGTGGGATAAACAGCAGAGGTACCAGCAGTATGATCAGGTATTTCCTGCAGGCCAGGGTCACCTCCCAGCAGCCAGGCATGGTGCTGGAGCTGGCCCGGTGCTGAAGGGCCCGAGGCTGCTGCTGGGGACTATATAAACACTCGGGAATATTAAACATTGACCCCTGGAGGTTGGGTGTTGTTTTTGGAACTGTAATCGGAGAAAGAAGGAAGAGAACAAAGAAGGGAGGGGACAGCAAAAGAGTGTCAGACCAAGAACTTTCTGAAGATAATCTTTCTGATAACTGGTAAATCCGGGAGAGAATTAACTCCCTGTGGACTAAATAGGTTTATTAAAAGCAGCATCAAGTGACCTGCACTTTGTTTAAAGAATATTAACATTTTGGTCTTTAGTGATGCCTTCTTTGAACAGGTACCATTATTCCTCCCATTAAAAAGAAAAAAAAAGGGCAGCAGGTCCCTCTGTGACAGGTTGGAGGTTGTTGGAGGTGAGATCACACCTCTGCATCCGCAACACCCGCTGCACAGATCAGAAACATCCACACCAAGTGGTGTATAAACACCATTGTATTCACTGAGAAACTCTTTGGGCAGTAAAACCCACTAGAGCAGAGCTCCTGTCACCAGCTGCCACAACAAGTCCCCATGCAGAAAGGGACTTGCAGTCCCTGCCACCTGAGAGCAGGGACACCCATCTTCGTGTGGCCCAAGGAGGAGCCTCATGACAGTTCTCTTTCCTCCTACTCCAAGAGCAATAGGAGAAGTGTTGAGGTCTGGTCAGAACTCAATTCCTCCCACATGGCAGCCCATGTTGTAAGAAAGGTTTTGGGTCAGGGAGGGAGCCTGGAGACTCATTCTGGTGGAGCCTGGTGTATCTCCAGGGGTTGGGAAAGACTTGGCTACTTTGCATTGCCTTGTTGACCTTGGACTATTTATCTTCACCTTTCTCGTCTTGCAGGTCTGTGGGCACAGCTCTGCTGGCTCACCAGGTGGAGTGGGGGAAAACACAGCAAAAAAGGTTTTTAAAACAAGTGATACTGAGGAATTACCAGCAATTCCTGCCCCGGGTGCAAGAACCTTCCAAAATACAAGCAGTGAATGACTTTGGTTCTGTAAATACGCTGGAATGGAATGGAAGTTTTTAATGCCAAAGGGAGTGTCTTGTTAATCACTTTCATATCTTTATTTGGTAGATCAGGCAAGTGCAAACTTCAGATACTGGTAATAACATTTGCATTTTATTGATATAAAGTATCTCAGATCCCTTTATAGCTTAGTCAAGCAGGGAGAGAGAAAGAGAAGCAGGGACACTAGGTCATCTGATGTCAGCTCCACAAAGAGCTTCTGCTGTTTCTCTTTTTTACCCCTTTTCTGCCAGGGCTTGTTTGCTGTCAGTAACAGGCTTGTAGCTGAAAAGCAGCAGGGCTGCAGCTGCCAGAGCTGCAGACTCACAGCTCTCTTGCAAGGTGGATTTAGGTGTGTTGCTCACAAGAAACAGGATCGTGTTAAGTAACTACAAATCCTGAGCTTTAGCATTTCACCCTTGGTACAAAAAGAATTCAAATGAATTCTATCCCCCACCCATGTCATGCTGAATTACTGTCTGAAAGGGATGCAGTGGCAAAATCAGCCAATGACAAATGTTTCTGTTTTCTGCTCTTATGTCCTAAGGTTGCAATGAAAATCCAAGAGGAAACTCCTCGTTTTCCCACCTCCGTGACACGAAGGTTGATGTCCAGCTGCAGCCCTGCCCAGGGGGTGGCAGGGACTGTGCAGAAGGCCCTTGGAAGCAGCACATCCACAGTGATTGTTCCCAGTGCTACGTGAGTCTTGTTACTTTCAGAGATGCTATAAATGAGCTCAGGAAGTGTTACTGCAAAATGAATGGTTGTGCCTTGGGAGGGACTTGTCAGAGTGTCATTAGCCCATTAACACTCCCACAGCAGTGTCACAGGAGTGATGCCAGTTTACATTCAATTGGAATTGCTCCATTTTATATGAACAGGTTATTCTAATACTCTGTGTTCTTTGAATTTAAAGAGTAACTTGGTCTTTTCTTACTGAGCTGCTCTTTGAGACAGACCAAACCAACAGGAAATCAGCCAAAACCTCTTGTGGGGTACAGTTTGTAACCTAGTTTGTCCTTCAGGAAGAGGAAGTATTTTCTGATGTGCTGTGGATCAATAGAAGTGATTACAGGCTGCTGGGATTGCACATCACTGGCTACTGCACTTCTCAGGTCCTTGTGCAAGCTGGGGAAGGGCCCAGGGCACAGGTCTGAGGAGCAGCTGAGGGACTGGGGGGTGTTCAACCTGCAGAAGAGGAGGCTGAGGGGAGACCTTCTCACTTTCTACAGCTGCCTGAAAGCAGGTTGGGGTGAGAGGGGGTGGGTGTCTTCTCCCAGGTGACGAATGATGGGATGGGAGGCCTCAAGGGGAGGTTTATATTGGATTTTGGGAATGATTCCTTTACTAAAAGGGCTGTCAGGCCCTGGCCCAGGGCAGGGCTGGAGCCCCCGGCTCTGGAGGGATTTCCAAGCCGTGTAGATGTGGTGCTGAGGGCCCCGGGTCAGCGGTGGCCTTGGCAGGGCTGGGATAACAGTTGGACTTGATGATTTCAAAGGTCTTTTTCCAAGCAAAACGACTCCACGCTTCTATTTAAAACGTCGATTGTAACTTTACCTCTTTCGGAGATAAGGAAAAAAAACAAACAACACAACCCACAACAACAAACACCACCCCAAAAACCAAACCCAACCACCAGGTTTAAAGCGATCAGGGAACACCACGAGCAACAGGCGGCCCCGGTCCCCAGCCCGGGGGCGGGGCAGGGCGGGTCGGGTCCTGCCCTCCCT